GAGGGGGTTGGGAGGGCACTGGGGACACCCAGAAGGAAGGGGGAGGGGACCCCCCGGCTGGGACAGAGCCGGGGGGCTGTGGGGGAGGGTTGGAATTGGGGTGAGGGGACCCCAGAGGTGCCTGGAGGGGTCCCACATGTCCCTTAGGAGTGTCCCGGGTGTCCCCAGAGAGAAGGACCCCTCATGTCCCCTGAGGGCGTCATGGGTGTCCTCAGAGAGAGGGGTCCTTCGCGTCCCTCAGGAGCGTCCCGCTTGTCCCCGGGGGGTCCCGTGTGTCCTCAGGTCCCACGTGTTCTGCATGTCCCCAACAGGGGGGATCCCTTGTGTCCCCTGGCAGGGTCCTGGGAGGGGGGTCCCATGTGTCCCCCCAGGAGTGTGCCACGTGTCCCCAAGAAGAGGGGCCCTATGTGTCCCCCAAGGGGTGTCCCTGCGTGCCCCCAAGAGAGTCCTGTGTGTCCCCAGGGGGAGGGTCCCACGTGTCCCCCAGGAGAGTCCCACATGTCCCCGGGGGGGGGTCCTGCATGTCCTTAAGAAGAGGGATCTTCCGTGTCCCCCATGAGGGTCCCGCTTGTCCCCAAGAAGGTCTCGCGCATCTGCCAGGTCCTTTCCACCCCCATGACCATCCTACGTGTCCCCGAGGAGAGGGCTGGCACGCGTGCCCTGGGGGGTGTCCCTGGTGTCCCCAGGTCCCCCCCAGGCCTTGACGCCGCTGCCCCGGCCAGGTGATGTTCTGCACCCTCAACACGCACAAGGTGGACATGGAGAAGCTGCTGGGCGGCCAGATCGGCCTCGAGGACTTCATCTTCGCCCACACCAAGGGCCAGCGCAAGGAGGTCAAGGTCTTCAAGTCAGAGGAGGCCTTGGGTCTCACCATCACTGACAACGGCGCTGGCTACGCCTTCATCAAGGTGACACCCCCGGGAGGGGACATTGTCACCGGGCAGGGAGACCTGGGGGTGCTCAGAGAAGGCCCTGAGCCACCCTGGGGTTGGGGGAGACGCGAGGACATCCCGGGTGGTGCCCAAGTCAACGTGGGGATGGGGAAGGAGGACACCAAGGGACATCCCTGGCCATTGTGGGGGGACATGGGGATCTGGATTATTGTGGGGGGACGTGGGGGCCCCCTGGGTGGTCCCTGAGCCAGGGACGTGGGGCTGGGGGGGACGCACAGGGACCTCCCAGATGGTGCCCAGGTCAACATGGGGATGGGGAAGGAGAACACCAAGGGACATCCCAGACCATCATGAGACCCCCTGGGTAGTCTCTGAGTTTTCCTGGGGCTGGGGGGGACCCCGGGACATCCCTGACCATGGTGGGGGGACATAGAGACCCCTGAATGGTCCCTGAGCTGCCATGGGTCTGGCAGGGGGGACACGAGGACGTCCCAGATGGTTCCCAAGCCAACGTGGTGATGGGGAAGGAGGATAACAAGGGACATCGTGGATTATCATGGGGGGACACGGGGACTCCTGGATGGTCCTTCAGCTGATTTGGGACTGGGTGGGGACACGGGGACATCCCAGATGGTTCCTCAGTGGACATGGGGATGGGGAAGGAGAACACCAAGGGTCATCCTGGATTATTGTGGGGGGATGTGGGGACCCCTTGGGTGGTCCCTGAGCCGCCC